CGCAAAACATAATAATTATTGAGATAAAGAAACAATAGATGTATGTGTGTGTGTGTATATATATATTATATAACATTACGAGATGAAATAATAATTTTAGCAACCTTTGTTTCTTTTAGTTGGATGATTTAAGTATTAAATTAAATAATAATAATAGTAAAGAGAAGGATGAATATACAGCATTACCAGATTTAAGTGCTATAATTTCTTTAGGTGACAATAATAATAATATTGAAAAGAAAAATAAGAATAGTGAAAATAATAATAATAATAATAAAAATAGCAGTAATAATTTGGTAAGCAAAATTAAAAATTATAAATCAAAATATTCTTTTTAATTCATTCAATTTTTTTCTAAATTATTTAACTTTATTTAGAATTTAATAGATAGGTATATGGGTTATACACAAACCCTTTCATTCACACAATCATTCACATTTTCAACTGCATTCTTCACAAATTCTTTGCCGAATTTTGAAATAAATTGGTCTCTGATCTGGAAAATTATGATTGTTTTGAATTATCTTTAAAAAATAAAATTTTATTCAATTAATTACTTACTGGAAGTAATTCTTTAATATCCAATCTTGAAGACGCATACAATAATGTATTAACGGCTTCGGCAATTGATGGATCACATTGTCTAATTAATTAATTAGTTAATTAATTCATCCATCATTTATTTATTCAAAAAACTCGTATTAATTATATAAACATAAATATCATTTACTTCATTTGTTCTAATAATCCAAAACGTGCTATAAGAAGTTCACAATACAGTTCAAGAACTTCCATTGCTTCGACATAATAATCATCATGAATAATTCCTTCTACCTGGAAACAAACAATCAATTGATTGATCAGTCAAAATGACAATATGAAAACAATAAAGCAACCAATCATTTATTTCATTTATTGCTTACTCTTATTCTGGCACTTTCTTCTTTATTATTTTCTAATAACGTTGCAATTTCTTTACGTTGTAATTTACTACTAACATTTTTCTTTTGTTGCGCGAGTTTAATTCTATTAATTGCTAATTTTAATTGAAC